TTGCGGATCTCCTCCGCCGTAGGCGCCTGCCCTAGCCCCTCCAGGTGAGCCTCTGGCAGCGCCTCGTCAAGGTCCATCGGCTGGATCTCGCCGTGCTGCCAGATGTCCTGGTACTCCTCCAGCAGGCTGTCGAGGGTGGCCGCTATCCCTGCAGGCCCGTTGTCGCCGTCCTGGTCGGCTGTCCAGCCCTGCGGCGCTCGGCAGAAGGCGTGGGCGGCCCCTCCGCCGTCTCGCACAGCCTCCCGAGCCCAGGCGCGCCAGCGCTGGTCTCGGCCTTTCGCACAGCCAGCCTCGAGCCGACCTGCGATTTCCCTGGCCTCGGCCTCGAGCTCCTCGACCTCCGCGAAGGTGAGCTCCCGCATCCTCCGAAGGCGCCTCCTCCACTTGGCAGCCTCAGGCGGGCTGAGGGCATCGCCTCTCGCGTACTCCGACGAGGCCAGCTTGCTGCCCATCTTGGCGTGGATGGCCTTGAGCTGTTGGCAGGCCGCGACCCTGGCGCTCGGCAGGTGCAGCCGCTTCCTCGTGACCAGCTCCTCCCAGAGCACCGCGCCGACCCTGCGCCAGTGGGCCGCCTCGGGGGGCCCGCGCGCGTGGGGGCCACTGCTGGGCAGGAACACCTCCTGCTTTACAAACCGTGGCTTGGCCTCTCGGCCCGTGTATCTGTCCGCCTCCTGGGTCCCGATGTGGTAGCACCCCAGTAGGTCGGACTCCATCAACTTGGCGAACTCCCCGTAGAGGTCGTTCACCGACTCTTGCGGCAAGCTGCCCCCCACAACATCCTCGGGGAACGTCGGGTAGCCAGCCTCCTCCTCATGGCTGGCCCCCCCCCTCGGCGAACCCTCCAGCCCATGGACTGCAGGACTGGGGCCGCGAGGCCCTCGCGTCAGAGAGTCCGCGTCACCCCTCTCTTCCACCGTGGGAGAGCTCGCCGCAGGCTGCTCGCTGCCTCCTCTTGGGTCGCTTGGAGTCTTCCCCTCGCCCATCCCTTCGGTCGCGCGGGGGGTGAGAGGGGCTGGGCCGAGAAGCAGGCTGAAGGTGTCGGCCCACTCTGCGCCCGCATCCTGGCGGCAGCGGCCCAGCACGCCGTCGTCGACCGCCGTCGCGAAGACCTCGGCGCCCAGGACAGGTCCCTCTTCCTGCTGGGCGGCAGGCGGCCGATCCTCTCGGCCCGCCGCTGCGCTTTCCTCCGGGTCTGGGCCCGCCGCTGCCAGCGCCGGCGTCGCCTCGGGCTGGGGCCAGCCCAGCTGCTCGAGCACCCTGCGCAGGCGTGCGACCAGCGGGCCCCAGTCGGGGGGCTTGGGCCGCGGCCCCACTGGCCGCTCGGCTGGGAACGCGCGCGGCCCTATGAGGACAGGCCGCCGCTCGGGTGCACCTCGCCGCCCCAGCTCCAGGCGGACGGGCCAGTGGGGCGCGAGAGTCTCGTCGAGCCGCCTGCATCCCCTGACCAGCTTCCCCAGCTCGCTGGAGACGACGAACCAGTCCAGCTCGTTGCCGCCCCCGCTGCGGCAAGTGGCGACACCAGGCGTGACCGTCATCCCGCCGACCGCCTGCGGCCAGCCCCACTCCTGGAGCTCGCGCGGCTTGCAGTTCCAGTCGCCGCCAACCACGAACGGCGCGGCCGTGCTGGCCAGGTAGCGCCCCAGCTGGCCGAGGACGAGCTTCGACTCGCCGTCGAGGCCCCTGCCCGTCACCAGGTAGACCGAGACCGCCAGGAATCCTCCTCTGACGGCGCAGTTGACCCAGCGGGCGATCACCCGATCCTTCGGGAGGGCGGGCCCCACGGGCGGGTCGCCCATCCCGATGTGGGCGCGGACGCCGATCCCGACGCCGCTGGACAGGCCGCCCTTGTCGGTGACCACCGACGCGTTGAAGGCCGCCTTCCAGCCCTCCTTGCGGCAAGCCTGCTCGGCCTCCGCCTTGGCGCCTGGCGCCACTGCAACCTCTTGCAGGAAGACTACATCGGCGGTAGCCTCATGATGCAGCCATCTCATCATGCTGCTCCTGGAGGTGGTGTTGGCCGTGTCCAACCTCCAGGTGCCTCCTTCACGCCTCGCTCGCTGAAGCCTCCGCTGGGCCTCGCCCGACGGCGGCTGCGGCGGCTGGCCGCTCGACGGCCGCTCCTCCGCCTCCCTTGAGCTTCTTGGTGGTCGGGAGGGAGAGGCCCGCTGCTTGGCAGACCGCTTCGAGCTTGCGGCGGCCTTCGCCCTCCAGCTTGGCCAGCTGCTCGATGAAGGCCTCGCCCTCGGCGTCGACCCTGCTGCCCCGGCCGCCATCGCCTGAAGCAGCAGGACCAGCATCGCCAGCAGGGACCCCAGCGGGTGCCTTCGCCATCTCGACGTCGCCCTCGGGAGGCGGGGCCTGCTCGGCGTCGACCTCTTGCCGCAGGACAGCTCCCTTGGCTTCGAGGGCGGCCTTGGCCTGCTGGATGGCCTCGCCGACTGCCCCGTCCTGCTCCCGCAGCACGCCTGCGAGGGCGCGGACCCCCTCCAGGGCGCTGGCGAGGTCGCCTGCCTTGGACGACTTGGTCCCAGGCGGAAGGGCGACCTCCTGGACCTTCTTGGCCTGCTCCAGCTCGTCCTGGGCGGCTGCCAACTTCCTGTCAGCTTCGGCCACCTTCCGCTTGGCCTGCTCCAGCTCCTCCTGGGCTGAGCCGACGGCCTCCTCAGCGGCCTCCTGCTCGCCCCTCCTGGACTTGGCCTGCTTGCCGAGCCGCTCCACCTTCCAGAGGAGCCCCTGCAGCACTTGGGAGTGCGTGCGCGGCTTCTCCTCCTTTGGGGCCTCCTCAGGCGGCTTGGGCAGCAGCTTGGCCCTGTCCGCGTCCGAGAGGACCACCCCGCGCGCCTCGAGCTGGGCCAGCAGGTCCTCCGCGCTCGGCTGCTGAGGCTTCGCCCCCTGGGCGCCGCCGCCTGCGCTGCCAGCGAGTGGCCCTGCGCCGCCCTCCTCCTTCTTGGCCTTGGCCTTGGGCGCGGCCTTCGGCGCAGCAGCCCGCGCGCCCGCAGCTGGAGGCGCTCCAGCCGCGGCCTCCACGGCGCGCTGGCGCACCGACAGCGGGGCCGCCACCCCGCACCCGCGGCAGGCCAGGCGGCAGGCCCAGTTGCCGTCGGCGCCGCAGCGGCCGCAGCCCCAGGTGGGTTTCCGCGGGCCAGGCAGGACCTTGCCGCCCCCTGCGCCCGCGCCGCCCGCGCCGCCGCGCCAGGGCGCGCCGTTGTCCCCGCCGCCGTCGGCCCACGTGACGCGCCGCGGCGCGCGTGGGGGCCGCGGCCCAGCGGAGCCAGCCATGGGAGCCAAGAAAGTTGCGGATAGCGAGGAATGGTGCCCCTCTCTTCTGTATGGAAAGCAATCGCAACCCGCGCTCGTGCGTACACGGCGCTCTGAAGTATGCACGCACAAGACCCCCCCTCTCGGAGAGCCCAGAACGCCTCCCCTTGAGCCAAAATGGCTTGAGCCAAAATGGCTACGGACCTCCTCCTCCTCCTCCTCCTCCTCCTCCTCCTCTCCTCCTCCTCTCCTCCTCCTCCTCCTCCTCCTCCTCCTCCTCCTCCTCCTCCTCCTCCTCCTCCTCCTCCTCCTCCTCCTCCTCCTCCTCCTCCTCCTCTCCTCCTTCCTCCCCCTCCTCCTCCTCCTTCCTCCTCCTCCTCCTCTCCCTCCTCCTCCTCCTCCTCCTCCTCCTCCTCCTCCTCCTCCTCCTCCTCCCCCCCCCCCCTCCTCCTCCTCCTCCTCCTCCTCCTCCTCCTCCTCCTCCTCCTCCTCCTCCTCCTCCTCCTCCTCCTCCTCCTCCTCCTCCTCCTCCTCCTCCTCCTCCTCCTCCCCCTCCCTGGGGGCCTCCGCGGCTGCGCAGCGCCAGGACACGCTCGGGGAGGCGCGCGTGGAGGAGCAGTGCTGGCTGCCCACTGGCTGCACGGCTTTGCGCGCTGGGGTCCCGCCGTTCCGCCCCGGTGCAGGGCGCTGGGAGCCGCACGAGGTGCAGGACGTCGTGTTCGACGCGAGGTGCAGCCACGGCCTTGGAGTCAGGTGCACGTGCGGTTCTGTTGCGTGCTCTTCAGTGCGGGAGGCGGTGCTGGTTCCCGAGGGCGGTCAGCATCCAACCGCTGGGGTACACCCCCTTCAATGGACGGCTCTGAGGGGGTGGGCGCGACGATGACGATGACGATGACGATCGTCATCGTCATCGTCATCGTCATCGTCACCGTCACCGTCGTCACCGTCACCGTCACCGTCACCGTCACCGTCACCGTCACCGTCGTCGTCGTCGTCGTCGTCGTCGTCGTCGTCGTCGTCGTCGTCGGCGGCGTGCCCCCGGCTGATGGCAGGCAAGCGCGGCCGTCGCGAGAGTCTGGCTGGGGTCATCCGCGCAGGTGCGCCCCTCCAAGGCTTCCACGGGGGCAACTGCGAGGTGATCAGTGGTGTGGCTGCCCGAGATTTCGCGGGATGGGTTCCAGCGGGGCTCCTTACAGATCTTGGGCCAGGGGTCCTTCTTTTGCTCGGTAGTTAGTTGTGCGGTGCCCAGCCTGCCCAGCGATGCGCCAAGCCCGCCCTTCATCGTGGGCGTCGCCCAACACACCGGTCACATCCACGACGCTCACCACCAGGCTGTCCGCCAACTTAGGGGAGGCGGCGATCGCGGCGAGCGCGTCGGGTTACTCCACTTGGATGCTGACCTTCGCGTCGCCTGCCCGCCCCCGCACCCCCCGACGAACAGAGGGGGTGCGGAGGAGGGAGGGAGGGAGGGAGGGAGGTGAAGGACGAGGAGGAGGAAGAGGAGGAGGGAGGGAAGCAGGGAAAGAGGGGGGGAGGGAGGTAGGGAGGGAAGAGGGAGGGAGGGAGGGAGGGCGGCGGAGGAGCCTATCCCCCCTGTCGCGTTGCCCCTGATCCACCTTTTCCCCTGGAGTTTCTCCAGAGCCTACGCCGTGGCTGCCAAGGCCGGCGTCCAGAACCGCGCGCAGCCCAACAGCCGCACACGGGTGCGGCAACGGGCGGGCCTGGTTCACCGCCGCGGGCAGTCAGCCCGCCGAGCTGGCGTTGACCTGCGCCGGCCAACAACTTTTGGGGCAGGGGCGACGACGACGACGGCAAGGACGAAGCAAGCAGGGATGCTGGAGGACGCCCCGCGAAGGCCCCGAGGTGAGGAGACGGCCTGGAAGAGAAGGAGAAAGAAACAACGGTATAAGCATAAACTGTTCGAGGGCCGCGCGGATCTCATAATATATATATATATATGTATATATACATATACATACATACATACATATATATATATATATATATATGTTTATGTATATGTATATGTATGTATATATATATATATATATATATATATATGCCAATGCTGTTTTTCCTTAGAAAAGTCAAAGGCGCCAGAGGACGAAGACGCAGAGGAGGCGGAGGCTACGGCCGCGAGGCGGTCGTCAAGGCCTCCGCCGCGAAGGCCTTCCGGGACGAGCTCTGAGGGCCCCAGCGGGGGCAAGCAGGGCGAGGAGTGCACCAGTTCGAGGCCGCAGGGGGCCCAGTTCTCTGACGATCCGACTGCTTTTGGTCGAGCCGCTGAGCTCTTCCTCGACCTCGGGCCTCCGAGTTCTGAGGGCCCCAGCGGGGGCAAGCAAGGCGAGGAGTGCACCAGTTCGAGGCCGCAGGGGGCCCAGTTCTCTGACGATCCGACTGCTTTTGGTCGAGCCGCTGAGCTCTTCCTCGACCTCGGGCCTCGGGGGCGAGTTCTGAGGGCCCCAGCGGGGGCAAGCAGGGCGAGGAGTGCACCAGTTCGAGGCCGCAGGGGGCCCAGTTCTCTGACGATCCGACTGCTTTTGGTCGAGCCGCTGAGCTCTTCCTCGACCTCGGGCCTCGGGGACGAGTTCTGAGGGCCCCAGCGGGGGCAAGCAGGGCGAGGAGTGCACCAGTTCGAGGCCGCAGGGGGCCCAGTTCTCTGACGATCCGACTGCTTTTGGTCGAGCCGCTGAGCTCTTCCTCGACCTCGGGCCTCGGGGACGAGTTCTGAGGGCCCCAGCGGGGGCAAGCAGGGCGAGGAGTGCACCAGTTCGAGGCCGCAGGGGGCCCAGTTCTCTGACGATCCGACTGCTTTTGGTCGAGCCGCTGAGCTCTTCCTCGACCTCGGGCCTCGGGGACGAGTTCTGAGGGCCCCAGCGGGGGCAAGCAGGGCGAGGAGTGCACCAGTTCGAGGCCGCAGGGGGCCCAGTTCTCTGACGATCCGACTGCTTTTGGTCGAGCCGCTGAGCTCTTCCTCGACCTCGGGCCTCGGGGACGAGTTCTGAGGGCCCCAGCGGGGGCAAGCAGGGCGAGGAGTGCACCAGTTCGAGGCCGCAGGGGGCCCAGTTCTCTGACGATCCGACTGCTTTTGGTCGAGCCGCTGAGCTCTTCCTCGACCTCGGGCCTCGGGGACGAGTTCTGAGGGCCCCAGCGGGGGCAAGCAGGGCGAGGAGTGCACCAGTTCGAGGCCGCAGGGGGCCCAGTTCTCTGACGATCCGACTGCTTTTGGTCGAGCCGCTGAGCTCTTCCTCGACCTCGGGCCTCGGGGACGAGTTCTGAGGGCCCCAGCGGGGGCAAGCAGGGCGAGGAGTGCACCAGTTCGAGGCCGCAGGGGGCCCAGTTCTCTGACGATCCGACTGCTTTTGGTCGAGCCGCTGAGCTCTTCCTCGACCTCGGGCCTCGGGGACGAGTTCTGAGGGCCCCAGCGGGGGCAAGCAGGGCGAGGGCACCAGTTCGAGGCCGCAGGGGGCCCAGTTCTCCGATTTGGTCGAGCCGCTGAGCTCTTCCTCGACCTCGGGGGGACGAGTTCTGAGGGCCCCAGCGGGGGCAAGCAGGGCGAGGAGTGCACCAGTTCGAGGCCGCAGGGGGCCCAGTTCTCTGACGATCCGACTGCTTTTGGTCGAGCCGCTGAGCTCTTCCTCGACCTCGGGCCTCGGGGACGAGCTCTGAGGGCCCCAGCGGGGGCAAGCAGGGCGAGGAGTGCACCAGTTCGAGGCCGCAGGGGGGCCCAGTTCTCGGACGATCCGACTGCTTTTGAGGGCCCCAGGGCCATCAGAAACGGATCGGGGGCGGATCGGGGGCGGAAACCCATCACCTGGAACCCATCGGTCGGAAGAAGTAGGTAGAAACATGAAGTAGGAAGGCGTTGGAGATAGATTGGGGTTCCGCCCGCCTCCTGAAGAGGAGGGAAGAGGGAAACCCCCTCGACTCTTGAAGTAGGAAGGCGCTCAAAGTAGATTGGAACCTGGGAATCCAAAAATACTTACTTTCAACGACCGATGGGTAAGCCCACTACACCGCCAATACATAAAAGTATAATCCCCATTTGCTGAATATGCTGAAGCACTTTATATTCAGCGGTACTCGGGAGTTCATATCAAACGATGATTCCGTTTCATTTGGTCATATTTTCCAAATTCAAATCCATCCAGGACCCGGGGAACTGGTCGGGACCTCTGGGGCCGCGGATGTAGAGAAACAGTATTGGCAAATAGCATACGAGATGTCCCCCTGGGCCAACACCAACCACCACCCCTGCGCTGGAAAGCCGGCCCTCGCCCTTCCACCGAGTCTTAGCCTCGATTCGCTCCCAAGCACACCGACACCAACAAACTTGCACCTCACGGGCAGATCTGTCAGAGAGTGCCTTCCCATCCACTCCATCATCCCACTCAGCATCCCGCTTCCCCTCCACCTCCTACCAATCCCCCTCTTCCCCTCCCACGGTCCGTCCCCCCCCCCTCCCTGGACCTCTCCCGCCCCCCGTCCCGCCTCGCCCCTCCCCGCGCCCCCTCTCCTGCGAGGCGGGCGCTGGCCCGTGACCACCACCTGGGGGATTGGCCGTGGGGGCCCTCGGCGGGCGGTGGATGTGGATGTACTTGGCCCACCCAGGGCCCGAACACGTCCACAGACACCGCTCGCCTAGGTCAGTCGTTTAGGATAAATCGATGGCAAGCCTTCTCGGAAGGCGGCGGGGTTTCTCAGAAATCCTCCTGGGGGGGTCCATAGCTAGTACTGGGGGGTCGGACTGTTGGCCTGTCGGTCCGGGGTCTTCCTGCGTTTGCGCATCCTTCGGGGAGGTTCCGCTTGCCCTTGATATATATATATATATATATATATATACTAGAACCATCGCGCGCGCTTTGCGCGCGCTCAGGTTCTAGCCCAGGCCGGGGGCGGTCTAGAAGATCTTGGACAGCGCTGTCAAGCACAGGCGCGTGACATAGTCGTGCCTCCTGAGGGCCTCTTGGGAACCTCTTGGGTCATCGTGGGGGCATCTGAAGGCCTTCTGGGGGGTTCTCCGTGCTTCCTCAATTGGCTGTTGGAGGCACCTCTTGGGTGCTTCGCGGGGGGGCATCTTGGGGCTTCTTGGGGTCCCTTGGGGGCATCGTCAGGGTTCTCCGGGCAGTCGGACAGTGATGTTGTGCAGTCTCTGAAGCAATCAATTGGCCGACTTGGCTGCGTGGAGGCCCGGCTTGAGGACACATTGGGGCAATCCGGAAGCCTCCCGGGGCCTCCATGAAGCAATTTTGATGCATCGAGAGCACTGTTCGGCTATCTTGGGGCCGTTTGGGGCCTGGTGGGGGGCTTCCTGTGGGCCTCTTGGGGCGGAAAGCTCTGCTGTTGGGTTCGCGTTCCCCTTCTTGGGGCTCTCTTGGGGCCCTCTTGGGGCCCTGTCGGGCCGTCTTGGGCGCCTCGGGCACCGTCTTGGGGCCCGAAGTGGGCCGTCTTGGGGCCCTCTTGGAGGCCTCTTCGCCTATCTTGGAGCGGCCGTGGGGGCCACCTGGGCCGTCTTGGAGCGTCGGGATGCCCAAAGGCTGGGAACTCTAAAATCCATCAAAGGCCGATGGGAAAACAATGCTTCTTGGAACCTCTTCGGACTTCTGGGGAGCTTCTTGAGGGCCTCTTGGGTCCCACTTGGGGGCCTCTGGGGCTTCCTGAGATCCTCTCGGGGTGAAGGCTCGGATTTTCGGTACGTCTTACCCCTCTTGGGCCCCCCTTGGGGCCGTATTGGTGCCCTCTCGGGCTGTCTTGGGCCCTGTTGGAAGCCTCTTGGGCTATCTTGGATTGGTCTTGGAGGCCTTTTGGGCGTCTTGGAGCGTCAGGACGCCCAAAGGCTGAAAACTCGAACATCAATCAAAAAACCTATGCTGTTTTCCCCTCCACCCGTGAGGCTTTGTGTGTGCCGCCGCGCCCCGCGCGCGCCAGGCCGCTGGCCCTGGTCACAGCATCTGGGCCAATGCGGGGAGAGGCCCCAACCCTCCACCGCGCCCCTGTGGGCACCGGCCACCCGCGTGAGCCTGGAGGGCCTTAATAGGAGCCTCCCACGCACACTACTGCGAGAGAGCAGGCATTCCTGCCGCACCGTACTTTACGAAGCACGGGCCACTCGCCAAGAAGGATAGCGACACATCCTTCGAACGCGTTGTTGCGAGAGAGTAGGCAATCCTGCCGCACCGCACTTTAGGAAACGCAGGCCACCCGCAAAAACCGCCAATGCAGTATGAATGCTGTCTGCGCCGTAGGCGGCCTGGGAAGAAACGACCGCTGTTGTCACCACGGCCTCAAGAAACCATGGCCAGGCGGAGGGGTGGGAGGCGGACCCAAGATCTCTGCATATAGTCGCACTTACGATCATGATGCCGCATGTGGCTGTGCCGCCTCCCCGTTGCGGGGAACAAAGCGTAACATCCGGATCAAGATCCGTCTTCATATGCTGTTTTCCCCTCCACCCGTGAGGCTTTGTGTGTGTGCCGCCGCGCCCCGCGCGCGCCAGGCCGCTGGCCCTGGTCACAGCATCTGGGCCAAAGCGGGGAGAGGCCCCAAGCCTCCACCGCGCCCCTGTGGGCACCGGCCACCCGCGTGAGCCTGGGAGGGCCTTAATAGAGCCTCCCACGCACACTACCAACTCCCCCTACCTCCACAGGCAGCGGGTGGTTGATGTCAAGTTGGGCGCCCGAGTTATCCGGGGCAACTCGGGTCCGGGGTAACTCGGGTTTGGATTCCCGAGAAACGAACCCGAGTTAGCCCTGACCCGAGTTACCCCTGATGATTCGGGGCTCTGGACGCCCGAGTTATCCGGGGTAACTCGGGCCCGGGGTAACTCGGGTTTGGATTCCCGAAAAACGAACCCGAGTTATCCCTGACCCGAGTTACCCCTGATGATTCGGGGCTCTGATCAACGCATAAATCTCCAGATGAGCCCTACGAAACCACGCCTTAAGACAAATGCCATCCGCCGAAGGGTCCTCAAGAGGACCCGTGTACGGCAGGCACGCTCCACTGAGCAAAAGGCACTGCGGCACAGCCACGCCCACAGACCCTTCAAGGAGGGAGGGCCAAAAGGGAGGGCAAACACCTGATTGCACGCTGCAGCCGCTCTTGGCCACGTTCCGGCAGCGACCGCGATCCGACATCCACCATCGCTTGATCGATGTATCCGCGCGCTGGTTTCAGGGGCCCCCATCGGCCCAGCGCCTGAGTGGCATCATAGTTACCATATGTCGTGAAGTGCCATGTGGCACCACCGCGCCTAAGGCAATAGGGCGTGAGGTTGGGGCTCTGTAGCCCGAAAAACTTGGCAAGGTCAACGATGTGATGCTTGAGGGCGGCGAAGCCCCCCGGAAAAAGAATGTCAAAGTCGCCGAGAGGGGCCAACACTCGAACAAGAAACTGAATGATCAAAGGGTCGTACCGCGTCACGTGCCCTACCTGCCCATGTCGATTCGCCCATTTGCTGTTTGGGAGCGATAGCAACACGGCAGTGCCCCCGCCTAGCACGGTGAACTGCCGCTTGACGATGTTCACGACTTCGCCAGACCGAAGCAAGCATGCGAAGCCGACCAGCAAGGCAGCCGCCGTGCGGTTCCAGCCCCGGAGTAGCGCTACTGCAGCCATCCCTTGGACTAGGCCCTTGGACAAAGGCAGCGCACGGCGACGATGGGACGACCGAGCCCAGTTTGACATGTACAGCGTGGAGGTCTCGAGCTTCCGCCTCGACCGTGGGTAGAGGCGCTTGAAACCGCACACCACGTCGTTGCCCCAGTACTGCGGCAGGTCATCCTGATATAGGTGGTCGATGTACTCCCCCAGAACATCATCTAGTTCCTCAAAACTGCTTGGCATGCGAATTCCACGAGAAGAGAGGTGGCAAAAGAAACGGTTGACGGCACGGAGGTAGCGAAGGATGGTCGGCGGCTGGATGTTGACGTACTTAATGTGTGCTTTGCGTGGACCTGGAGCTGCACGTCTGCTACCCGGCATCGCTGGTAATTGGGGCGCCCTCCAGCAGCCTACTGGCTGCGTCCGACGCATTCCAACTACTGATGGTCCACAAGCACAGTACGTACAAATCCGCTGCCAAAGAGACTGCCGCAAACCGCCGAAGGGGCCGGTTGAGCACCCTCGCGCTCGACCGACCCTTTGCCGCAACGCAAGATGCGACGCGAGAATCGAATACATGAAAAACCGTTCTCCATGCCGGTCCGGGTCGGCCACTCGTGCCCGGACGTACGTCAGGAATGCAATGAATTCAAGGACGTTGATGTGTTGGACATGCCTCCGGGCATAGCGCTGCACAACCTCCCATTTCCATATCGGAGCTGGGTATGGCACCTGCTGCCGCGACCCGTCGACGAGAGCCTGCCGTAGTAGACGCACGTCTGAACCGCGATAGTCGGCTTGCCCGAGCAAGCTCTGGAGATGGTCCTGTTCCTGGCCTCGCCCTAGCTTGTCCAACATCCGCTCCAGTGCCAAAATGGCTTCGGAGTGCGTTCCGCCCTCTCGCAGCCTGTCTGTGCTAGCCGCGAGGCTGCGGCTGATCCACGACGCCCGCTCGCTCGGCTGCGGGGGGAGCGTGGCCAAACTGACCTCGCGAAGCGAGTCCAGAAGAACGCGGGCGTACGCCTTGCAACACTCGTAAGGGTAGACCTCCTCCCCCTCCTCCTCATGAGTGCCCTGCGCCACGACCCTGTGCAAGCCTCGGGCCATGCGCGGATGCCCGCGGCAGGGGTCCATGTCTAAGGCAAGGTGCAGCGCGCTGCAGTTATGGAGGGACCCAAGGCCCACGAAGCGCGGCCCCCCGTAGCAGCAGACCCAGACCTTTGTGAAAAAGACGTCCTCGGACTGCTGCATGGCAATCGCGGATGGCAGCTGCCACCCAAGCCCACCTAGAGGGTCGACGCTGCAGACGGCCCAAGGCAAACGCGAAATTGGCGTTACGACGCCTCGTTCGCTGCTGCTGGCGCCCTGGTTGCCAAGCCCAGCGCGACCTTTTCCGGGCCGCCGCGGAAGCAGGCACGAACCAATGTTCGAACCCAATGTCACCGCGCCTGAGCCGGTCGGTCTGCTGCTCTGTCACGCGGCAGCTGGGTGACCGTTCCATCTGAGCCCAAACCAAGGGCTCCAGGACAGGGGCCCCGCGCGCCGCGCAAGCCCAAGTGAGCGGAGCGCTGAGGCTCGAGGGGCCCTCCGCAAAGTGGACATGGGAGGTCCCGCTACCCAGACAAACTCCGCCGCGATGGGCGCGCAAGCACCGTAATGAACAGAAGGCCCCAGCGCAACCGAGTGGGCACGTCGCCCATTCCTCGTGCGCGTGCGTGCGTCCGCCACGCGATGAGCATGGGCCAGGCCTGCCTCCTGGCCGAGGACCGGCTCCTCTGCTAGCGCCGCAGCCCACGCCTCCTGGCGCTCCGCTTGCCCCGGCGCCAGGGGGCAGACGAAGCTGGTGGCCTCAGCTGCGTCGCCGCCGCTCTCCGAGGCGTTGGACGTGCTCGCGACCTTCGGTGCCTTCGCGCGGAGGTTCATGAAGGCCAGCGGGATGAGGGCCCCTCCATGAAGGACCTCGTCGACGACGCAGTCAGGGGGGGCCAGCGGCACCTCCGCCGGCCCAAAGCTGTTGATGAAAGGGAAGATGTCCTGCAAGACCGAAAAGAGCGGCCTGCGGAAACCCGCGGCGAAGCAGAGAGGCCCGACTAAAGTTGAGCCTCACCTGCAGACCAAGCGGGCCCCCCCAGGAGGGTGAGCGACTTCGTGCAGAACTTCAGCGACTTCTCCCTTCCGTGCATAAGACGCCCGCGCAACCCGTCGAGCTCTCCGCCTCGGATGCCGGCCCTCAGCCCGCGAACGAGCGATTTGCCCGCATTGAGGGGGGCCCCTTGCGCTGCGCAGACCGCGACGAAGCGTTCCATGGGCCCAGAACGGCCTGGGGGGGCCTCCGAAATGTCGTCCACGAGGAGCTTGACCTTCGAAAGGTGATCGTAGCCGTCCATGCACGCGATAGCTATGTCTTGCGTGGGCACCGCCGTATCTTTCCGCAGCTCGCAGAACGGCGGAACCGCAGCAGTCTGGAACACTAACTTCCGCGCCATGTACTGCATCACGTCCACGGCGCCGACCCAGCCCATCGGCGCGGCCCGCATGCCCACGTAGGTCATGACATTCGGGTCGCCGCCGAGGGCGCTCATCGGAACCTGCTTCTCGAAGGCAAACATGCCCAACCACTCGTCTGGCATGTAGAAAACGTTGAAACATGATTCCATGTCTTCGGAATCCACCCAGAAGACCTCGTCCTCCTCCAAAGCGGCCAGCCCCAACTGGCCGATATAAGGGAGGAGGCCGCTGTCCCCGCGGAGTCGCCGGAGGAAGGCACTGATGGGCACGAATACGCACATGAACCGCAAGAGCTCGACCCTCACGCCATTCACGTGCTTGACCTTGTCCACCCCGTCGCCCCATTCAACGCCGAGCCCCCACGGGCGTCGCGGAAAATGGCATCCGCGCCTACGGGCGCGAACAACCCTCGAGCGTAACCCGCGGTCGCCAAGCTGAACCGCTCGTCGCCCGTCGCGTGGGCCCGAGAGCGCGGAGCGACCGCAGGCCATTCAGACCGGGATAGGACGCACCTGCTCGGACATAGCAGGTCGCCCCGGAGTTCCTCCGATACGTAGTCGACGATCGGTAGGATGCACGCCTTGCCAGGGTCCGGCCACGCTGGCACGACCTTGCTGCAGACCAGCTCGCGCCGCCTCGACGCGACCTCGCCAGCTTACCCGACCCTCTTGCTGCGCAACTCCTCGCGCAACTCGCTCACGCGGAATGGCAGAGCAGGCGCCGCCCAGAGGTCCTCCGCTGCCTCCCACACGTGGGAGAGGGTGCGGCGGTGACCCTCGCCGAGGGCACGGGGCGCGTCCAGGCACGCCGGCACTGGCGCCCAACCGGCGCACGCGAGGAAATTCAGGGCGTGCAGCGTGGCTCTGGCGAGCAGAAATAGCCCCGAATTGTCGCGACCTTCAGCTGGGGCCAGGTGCCCCGCGGGGCCGTCCCTCCAGAAAGCTTCGGCGAGGTCCAAGTTTATCGGTAACAGTTCGGCCCTCCGGGGCTCCGAAGAAGGGGCAGATGCATCGGCACGATGTGACGGAGCACGATGTGATGGAGATGCCTCTCTCGACGACTGTGCGGCTCCAGACCCGGCAGGGTCCGAAGAGGCTTGCAGTCGCAGCCAAAATTTGCCCAAACGCGATGGGCCAGTCAAAACTGCCAGCACTAACGCTGATAGAGCTCCATGGGAATCGTTGCACCGACCAGCAGCGCGTCGCAGAGCGGCCTGCCACTCGGCAAGGTTCTGGGCAGAACCGAGCTCCGCCGCGAAACTGGTGCGACACGCGGGCGTCCACCCAGGAGCGCGCGCCGCGTCGCCAGCCACCGGGCTGCGGGTGGACGCTGGCGTGGCGCACGCTCGCTGGCCTACTGGCCTCTCCCCTTCCTGTCCTTCCCGTCCTTCCCCATGCCCTTGTGCTGGCGGCCGTTCTTGTCCTTGGCCCCCTTGCCGGAGCTGCCGGAGGCGTTCCCTGAGTTCCGCCACTCGTTGTCGAAGCCGTGCCCCTTGCCCCGGCTTTCGAGCTTCCGCTGCATCGCCAGCTCCTGTGTGGCCATCTGCTCCTCCCCCATGGTCGTTAGCGTCGTGTCGTCTTTTTCCACGAGCTCCAAGAATCGCGCGCGGTCCCAATTGCCGTGCCGGCTGGCCATTTCCACCGCCTTCAACCTCATCGTGAGGACATCCGCCGCAAACGCGGTCCGGCCCCGTGCTAGGTGGTCGAGGGCCGCGCACAAGGTGGCCATCTCCCTGTTGTTGCGCAGCCCTGCCCCCGTCAGCGGTTGCAGGACGCGCAAGTAGTAAGACCTGGCGGCCGCTGGGGTGTCGTTCTTCTCCCAGGCGTGCGCCTCCCCATCCCTGCCCACCTTGTCCGCCATCAGCTGGAGGGACCTGCGGGACAGGAGGCCTGGGTGCTTCCGCGCCCAGCGACGAGCCGCGCCTGGGAGTCGCGACTCTTGGAGGAGAAGGCGTCGCGAAAAGACGACGAAGACGAAAAACTGCGGGGGCGGCGAGACCTGGACCTGGCCCGCCTGTCCCTGCCAGGCGTGTCCGACCGCCGCTGGCGATCGCGGTGACGGCGCCGGTGCTCCTTGCGACCCTGCGCCGCCGCCGTAGCTGCAGCGCGCGCCCCGAAAGGTGCACGCGGCGCTCCTACGCGCGCAGCCTCGGGAGACCGTGGCTGCACAGGCCGGCGGCTCCGCGAGCGGCCCCTGACCTCCTCCTGGTCGTCGTAGCGGCGGCCCGCGCCGTCGTAACGGCGGCCCGCGTCGTAACGGCGAGCCCGCGAGCAACTCCTCGCGCGACGGCCGCCCTCCTGGGGCCGCTGACGCTCCTGATGGTCCCGGCGCTCCTCGCCGAGGCGTGCAGGCGTAGGGTCGCGACCCCGTCCCACGCTGGCTTCGAGGCGCCGCAAGTCGCCTTCGACGCCGCCCACCGGCGCGAGGGGCCCATCAAGGAGAACTGGTCGGGCAGCGCCACCCTGGTCCCAACCGCGCGCCTCCTGGTCCCCGGGGCCGTCCGCGGCCCGCATGCCCAGGGCCCCCGCGGCCGCATGGCGGCCGCGCAACTCGTCCAGGATGTCCTTGCGCCGCTGCTGCGAGAGCCAGCCCACGACGGCGAGGTCCGCCTCGAGCCCGTTGCCGTTCAAGACGCGCCACTTGTAAACCGGCGTGATCTCCCAGCCCCGGAAAACCGTCTCGTCGTCGTCGCCTTTCCCCGCCGTCGCCCTGAACAGGCCTGGGTTCTCCGCCTTCTGGCTCTGGAATATCCACCAATGATAATATTGACCTTCGACGTCAAGAACGCGGGCTTCAAAAAGGCGAGTACGAGGCCCATGGCCAATGACCTCGACCACGCCCGTCCCGCAAGAGTCCCGAACTGCTCGTGCCAGAGTTCGACCTCCAGGACGTCGCCAATGGTCCACACGGCGCGCTCCGCGTAGAGCGCGTCGATACCCGGCCCAATCCATGGGCCCACAGCTGCATGCGCCATGCCGCACCCCCGCGATATGGCCTCTGGCCCGCCCGCCAGAGGACGACCTAAAGCAAGGGGGGAAGGCTAGAATGTAGTGGAAGCGGGTGGAGAGGAAGTATAATCAAAACGAAAGGCTGTGCCTCAGGCTTGACCCAAGATCTCTGCATACAGTCGCACTTACGATCATGATGCCGCATGTGGCTGTGCCGCCTCCCCGTTGCGGGGAACAAAGCATAACATCCGGATCAAGATCCGTCTTCATATGGCAAGACATGGATTTTTGCGTCTTGGGGCCTCCGTGGGAGGCCTCTTGAATACTCTTCGGCCCCCTGGGGGGCTTCTTGGGGCCTCTTGGAGCCTGTTAGGGGCTTCTCGGGGCCTCCTGAGAGCCTCTCGGGGTGGAAGACTCGGATTTTCGGTTCGTGTCAACCCTCTTGGCTCCATCTTTGGGCCGTCTTGGGGACCTCTCGGGCCGCCTTGCGCGCCTCTGGCGCCGTCTTGGGACCCCCGTGGGCTGTCTTGTGACCGTCTTCGAAGCCTCTAGGGATGCCTTGGAGCGGAAATTAAAGCCTTTTGGGCCGTCGTGGAGCGTCAGGAAGCTCAAAAGGCGAGAACTCGAAAATCGATCAAGAACCAAAAGGAAAACGAAGTAGTTGTGCCTCCTGGGGCTCCTTGGGAGCCATCTTGGAGACCTCTTGGGGCGTCTTGGAGGTCTCTTGGACAGTCAGGGACCAATTCAGGGGTGATCGCGGGCGGTCATTGGTCGTTTTCGTTGTCTGGAAACGCCACCGGCTTCGGGCGACTTTAACAAGGCCCCCAGCGCCACGGCAAGGCCCCGGGCCCCCCGGTGCGAGGGATCCGTCCCGGGCCCCGCCTCGTGCCCGCGGCAGGGCGTCCCTGGGCCGTCTCGGCGCCCTCGTGCGGGCCTGTTGGGGCGACGTTGGGTGTCTGAAATCCATCAAAAACCTAAAAACAATCAATGATTTTGGTGTCCCTTTGGGCCGTGTTGGAAGCCTTGTGGGCTGTCCGGAGGCCATCTTGGGCGTATTCGAACGATATGTCCTCGTTTTGGGGCCTCTTGGGGGCCTCTTGCGGCCCTTTTCGTCTGTGTTGGGGCTTTCTTGGGCCGTCTGGGGGCGGCCCTGGGCTGTCTCGGCGCCCTCTTGGAAGCCTGTTTGGAAGATTTCTGGGTGTTCTGGACCGTCCTCCTTCAACGTCGGCGGCAGTGGCCGTAAGACTTCCTGGGAACATGATTTGTTGGGGTGTCGTTGGGCGCCTCCGGAGGCTTCGGGGCCTGACGCGTTTCCGAGCGTGGCCGCAGGTAGCACTGCTTGGGACTCTCGTTTTTTATCCTGGCAGGCGTTTCTGAACACGGTTTGGGGAGAGGGCGGCAACCCGAGAATCATGTTCCCGGGAAGCTTTCCGGGAGAATGATTTGTTCGGCTCTCTTAAGAAGGTGGGCTCTGGGGGCTTACCGAGGGGCTCTTTTTGGCCTTGTCGGCAAGCCTATTGGAAACATGGTTGGGGCGATGGGCGGAAGCCCAAGGAATCATGTTCCCGGAAAGCTCTGGGAAATGCGATTTACCGAGGTCTCTTGGAGGCCCGCAGGGGGCTTCCCTGGGGGGCCCTTGGGGGCTTATTGGGGCTTCCGGGGGGCCTCTTGGGAGCCTGGGAGCCTCTTGATGGCCTCCGGGGGCGTCCTAGGAGCCTCGCAGGCCAGAGACCTTGAAATGTCGTGCTCTTCGGGCCCTCTTGGGTCGCTCTTGGGGCTCTCTTGGGGCGCTCTCGAGTCCCTCTTGACTTATCTGGGGAGCCTCCTGGGCCGTCTCTGGTCTTTCCTGGGGAGCCTCTTCGGCCGTCTTGGAGCGATCTGAAGGGCCTCTGACGCCGTCTGGGGCCGTGGGGAGGCGGAACATGCGAGAGCGCAAAAATGCGGGGCCCTTTGGAGGGGCCTCTGGAGGTGCTCTTAGGGCGTCTTGGCGGCGTCGTCGGCCGTCCTGAGGCCATCTTCGGCGTGTCCGGGGCCTCTTGGGGCTGTCTCGGCAATCTTTAGGGCCCTCTTGGCGTGTCGTGGCGTGCTTGGGAGCGGGCCCGGGCAGTCCCGGGAGCCCTGGGGGCTGTTGAATGCTAGGTGTTGTCTTGGAGGCGGAGGCTGTTGAGTGCAGGGTGGCGTGTGCTACGCGAAAGGCGGGCGAGCGGCCGGGCGGGCGGCGGGCGGGCGGGCGGGCGGGTGGCGGGCGGGCGGGTCGGGATTTGAATGAATTCCTTAAGGGTGCTCTCTTGCAGCGGGAGCTTGTTGGAGACTGAAGCTGCGTACAGAGTGGTGCGTGCTACGCGGACGGCAGGCGGGCGGCGGCGGGTGCCCTAGGTGGTGGGTCAGAGGCCTCATGGGTGTTGGTTTGGATCTCTCGGTTGGCCTGTCGGGGACGTCGTGAAGGCAGTTTCGCAGCTTCTCGGTAGCCATTTTGAAACCGTTGTGGGACCTCCTCGGGGCGGTTTTGTGGCCTCTTGAGGCCTTGCTTGGATCTCCTGGGTGCCTCTCGGGGGCCTCCTGGGGCCTCTGGGGGGCTCCTTGGGGCACTCTTCAAGCGGGAGGGTCGAATTTGGGAGTCGTGGTCCCCCTCTTGGGCGCATCTTGGGGCCGTCTTGTGGCTTTCTTGGGCGCTTCTGGAGCCGTCTGGGGGCCCTCTTGGGCCGTCTTGGGGCGCTCTTGGGGCCTATGGAGCCGGCCTGGAACGTCGGACAGCCGAAAAGGCTGGAAGGCCAGAATCTCTCCAAAACCTTAATAAAATTGACGATTGTGGTCTCTTGAAGCGCTCGGGAGAGGCGTCTTGAAGCGTCGTGGAGTGCCTTGGGGGGGCTTCTCGGGCCGTCTTGGGCCTATCTTGGGCGTCCAGGAGCGGTCTTTCGGCCACTCGGGGGCCCGCTTGGGCCGTCTGGGGAGCCTCTGGAGTCTCTCCTGGACTATTTTGGACCTTCCCAGCCGCCCCGTCCTCCCATGGGGGGTCGGGGCAACTGTTTGTGGGCCCCGGGCCTGCCCCCATATTGGGGCCGTGTTGGGGCCGTGTTGGGGCCCTCCTGGGCCGTCTTGGGCGGCTCGTAGGCCGTCTTGGGGCCCTCCTGGCCGTATTGGGGTTCTCTTGGGGGCTTCTCGGGCTGCTTCGGGGCATTCTTGGTGACCCCTCGAGCCGGCATGGAGATTGGGAAAGCCGACAAGGCGAGAAGGGCGAAGTCCTCCAAAAAACATATAGAACATCAACGAATTTGGGATCTCGGGGCTCTGTTGGGAGTCCTCTTGCAGCCTTCTTGTGGCGTCTTGGGGGCCTCTTCCGGGTTTCGTCGGGGCTTCTTGGAACAGAAAGGTCGAATGGTCGGTTCGGGCTTCCGTTCTGGAGTCCCTCGCGGGGCCGTTTTGGGGTCCTCCTGGGCGTGCTGGGCGCCTCCTGGGCCGTTTTGGGGCCCTCTTGGGTAGTCCTGGCGTCCTCTTGGGGCGATCTTGGGGGCCTCTTGGGCTGTTTTCGAGCGTCGGGAACCCGAGAAGGCGAGATGACCGAAATCCTTCGAACACCCACGGAAAATAAACAGTTTTTGGCTCTCAGGGCTCTCTCGGGGGTCCTCGTGGGGCCTTCTTGGCTTCTTCGTGGCCTCTCGGGGCCTCCCGGGCGCCTCTTTTGGTGGAAAACTAGAATTGTTGGCTGGGTTTCCCAATCTTGGGCTTCTCTTGGGCGCCTTTGGGGGCCCGTTTGGGCCGTCCTGGGCGCCTCTTGGGCCGTCCTGGGGCCCTCTTGGGCCGCCCTGGGGGTCTCCTGGGGCCTCTTGGCGCCCCTTTGGGGCCTCCCGGGCCCTGTGGAGGCGGGAGGCTCGAATTTGCGGTTCGCGGCCCCCCTCCTGGAGCCCTCTTGGGGCCGTCTTGGTCCTCTCTTCGCCCGTCTTGGGCGCGTCTTGGGCCGTCTTGGGGTCCTCCAGAGCCGTCTTGAGGCCCTCTTGGAGGCCTCTTGGGCTGTCTTGGGGCGTCTGCGGGAGGCCTGTGAGCCGTCGTGGAGCGTCGGAAAGCTGAAAAGGCAGGAAAAGCAACATGTGTCCAAAACCTTGGTAAACTGCACGATTTTGGCCTCTGGGGGCTCTCTGGGGGGGCCTCTTGGAAGCCTCTTGGAGCGTCTTGGGAGCCTCTTTGGCCGTCTTGGGCTTATCTTGGGCTTATCTTGGGCTTATCTTGGGCTTATCTTGGGGCCCTCTTGGCGCCCTCATGGGCCTCTTGGAGCCTGCTGGGCCTGTCGCGGAGAGCTCTTGGGGCACTCTTGGGCCGGACAAGGGCGCTCCCGGAGGCCCGATCCCCCCATGGGGGGTTGCGGTCCTGGACAGGGAGCCCCCGGCCCTGTAGCCCAGCATATATATATATATATATATATATATATATATACACACACACACCAATCTCCACGGTTTAGCCCTCTAGTCCCACCGTAGACGACGCCCCCAAATTTCCCGAGCGCACGCAAAACGCACGCCCAGAGGAGAGGAGGATTTACCCGAGTCCCCACCTTCGATCGCAGCTGAATCAACGTCACACTGTTGTAACTGTTGTAGTGGTGGGACACACAGCTGAATCAACGTCACACTGTTGTAACTGTTGTAGTGGTGGGACCTTCCCAGGTCCCGTGCCCTGCATGTGGCTCGCCAGCTCCCCCTCGCACGCCTCCACCGCCACGGGAGGAAAAGAGGAAAAGCACGCCCATCACCACTCCGTGGAGCAAACAGAACATGCATCGGTGACTATGAGAACTTAAAAATACGCTCCCGCCCCTCCGTGGAGCAAACGGAACATGCATCGGTGACTTTGAGAACTTGGAAACGCGCTCCCGCCCCCCTCTTTTCCCCGACCCTGCCCCGCCCACTGCGGTGCCCCCGACTTGGCCCCTCGCGGGCGACCAGCGCCGCCGCCAGCCTGGCCGTGGCGTCCGATGCCCCGTGGCCCGCGCCGCCGCCGAGCAGCGCCGCCGCCAGGATCGCCGGAGGCGCCCCGGCGCCTGGGGCGCTGGCCAACCAGCTCGCCTGGAGGGGGGGGGCAGCATCCCCGACGGGCCAGGGGGCGGCCGACGAGAAAGGGCAAGCTAGCCGTTCCTTCCAGGCCCAAGGCCCAGAGACGGTCAAGAAGAGGAGGAGGAGGAGGAGGAGGAGGAGGAGGAGGAGGAGGAGGAGGCGGCGCTGGAAGGCGAGGGCGCAGAAAAGGCGGATCAGATAAGACAGCGCCTTTGAAAAGGTCGGAAGGTGGTCGCGCCAAAGACAAGCAAAGTTCTACAAATTCTGCTTGCAACGACGAGCTCGGATGGCGCCGCTGCAAGGGCGGCGGGAGAACGCCAAAACCGCCGAAGCTGGACCGAATTGTGTGTCCAATGCGCCGGAACTAAGGTTCGGGGAAACGTGAGACACGGGTTCGGGGGACTCGGGTTGACCTCGCGGGGCCATCATGACAACGACGGGACCCAATCTGAAACTTGAAACTTGGCGCGAGCTCCCGCTGCAAACGTCCCACGAAAACGGGACCGCCCAAAATCCAGGACGCGCTCGATAAAAAAAATCGACGCGTCGACGCGCCTGCTCGGGACCACTGCTCGAGACTACTGCTCGAGACGTGACCATGATCCTGGCGGGCGGTCATGCGCACGGCAATGGTGCGCGAAAATTCACGACCTTTCGTCATGATTCTGGCGGTCGGCGAAGATGTCCAGTCTTTCGATCTCAATCGGAAGATGACGTAGCTGTGATGATGGCTGTCGGACTTTTACTATATGGCTGACCTTTGGCGCGAGGTCAGCTGCGATCATCAGGTCGAGCCCGACGAAATGGGCAGAGTCCCTCGACTCCTTCGCATATACGATTTGAAAGTCAAAAGCGTCCGCGACCAAACGGACAGCTTCCTCGCAATTCGGCGATGCCGACGCCGCCGTCCTGGCAGCATTGCGACGCCAGCGCTGGTAGTTGGCAGCATCGGGTGTCGCTTTTAAGACTATCTTTTCCGCCTTGCCCGCGTCGTCCCTATATTGCGCGGCGGCTGGGGCAAAATCCACCAGCGGGAATGGAGGGCCATCGCCGCCGCCGCCGCCTCCCGGCGGGCCACCTCCGGGCGGCCCTCCGCCACGCCGGCGCCGGTGATTTGGATTGCCGTCTTCTTCGCCGTCGGGCGTTTGGCCCCCGTCGTCTTCAAGGTAGAAGTCGCCATCGCCTTCGCCATCATCGCCGTTGCCATATCCGCCGTCGCCGCCGGGAGGGCCTGAGCCTGGGGGCTTCGGCACTGGCGCCTTCCATGGGGGGGGGGTCGCCTCATTTTTCTCATCTTTCTGTCTGAAGATGCTCGGCAAACTCCACGAAGCTGGAGGCGCGCATCCTGGGAAAGAGGTCGCCGCGCTGGGGCGAGCTGCCCCCGTGCTGGCATTCGCCAGGGCGGCAGCCGCCGCGGCCCTTTCCTCGCGCATTTCTTGGGTTTCTACCCTGCGCTAAGCGAGCATCCGGGCGTTTTCCCCTTCGCGCTGCATAGCCTGTTCGGGCTTTTCCTTGAGTCTCTCCTTTTCGGCCCTCGCAGCTTCCTCGAACTCAAATGGCCCCTTCGATCCGACGCCCCCGGCCGGGCGACCGTCGCTGCCCGAGGCATGGCCCTAGGCGCGCGCAGGCCGAAACAATCGATCTCGATAAGCCTCTCTCGGCATAGACGCTGCGGCGCTCTGTTCCTCAAGTTTATTTCTTGCCTGGCGTTCCTCGCTTTCTGTCTCCTGGAATGCTTCCTTAGCTTCGTCTTTCCAACTGCTGAATCCTCCCCGTAGCAGCGCGCGCGCATCTCGCCGCCCAGTGCAAAGTGGCCGACCGCCTATCTCGCACAAGGGGCAGTCGCGAGTAGCTACGTTCGAGAACGAATGATACCGCGGAGCTCCCGCGGGGGGATTCCGACCCGAATTCCCGCATGCTGCTGGTCGCCCAACCGCGGTCGGCACCGGCGGAGGCGCTGTAGACGCCGCCGCCGCACTCACTTGGGCCGTCGACCCAATGCCTGAAGATGTTGCCGCGTGTGTTCCGATCGGGTGCCGCAGTATCTGGTGCTGATCCAGCTTGCGATACAAGCCGCCACGCTCGGCTTGCCGACTCTTCATCGCCTGCGGGGCCTCCAGTTCGGCAGCGCGGGTGCTCGCTTCAATTTTCCCCTCGGCGGTCATCTCAACTCGTCGCATCTCCTCGCGGGCATGTAGAATCTCGGCCCCGGAACGAGTGTAGTTCTCGTCCGCGACGATTCGGCTCGCATCGGCTTGCCTAAACGCAGCGGCAACCTCTGCGGCTAGCCGTGCGTTCCGATTCTCTGCTGCTTGCACTTCGCAGCTTGCGACATAGTCGCCCGTTGAGCTTCGCCGGCCCCCGGGCAGCGCACCCCGCCTCCTCTGCGAGGTGCTTCTCCCGGAGGCATGCTCGGCGCTCGCAGGCAACGGCTGTCTCCAACCTGTTGGCGAGCTCTCTCATTTCCTCTGTCGCCGCGGAGGCCTGTTGAGCCGCCGCCGCCTGCTGGGGCCCCTCCAGACAGCGCGCGGTTTTTGCCGTGGCCCCCCGGTCTCGCTCCAACTGCAGGGCGACAACCGCTTGTTGTCGCTCCTCCGACAGCCTGAGTTGCTCGCGCATTTTAGCATGATCTCTCTCCCATATCTCCATAATCTTAAACCTCTTCCTTTCCTCCACTTCGCGTCACTCATTCGCGCGCCACCCAGCGCAGTCGCGCGAGCTAGGGACGGCGCGCGTCGGGCATTGGAAATTAAGGTTACAGAGGCCGCAAATGTCAGAGCACCCGAAACAGACGGGCTTCTTCTTGCACTGGCCCGATAAGCCAGGGCACCGCGGTTCTGGCACCACAGAGCACTTCGGTCCACGGTTGGCACACTTGGCGTTGACGCGCACGCTGGGGGCGCTCGACTTGCCCGACAAGTAGGACAAGTCAGATACTTCGGATCGCGGTCTTGGGGGCAGAGCTTGCGCTAGTTGGATCGCTCTCTGAGCTTCTCTTGCGGGCAGAGCGAGTGCGTAAGTCGGGCGTCCCAAACGTCGGGGTCCGCGGTGGGGGCCCGGGAACATTGCTCCCGGGCGTCCCCCCCGGAGCGAACCTAGGGTTGTGCTCCGGGACGTCACTGGGTCTACTTCGCTTCCCGAGTTGTGAGGTCATTGAAAGACTAATAGGCTTAGGTCTCTGCTTGCTGGTCGTCCTTATGGGACTGCCCACGAACTCCTCATCGACGATCTCCTCCACATTCCGTTCCAGAGAATCATCAGATGGGATCGCGGCATCCCCGCCGCGCGCGGGCGGTGCCTGCGCAGGGGGTTGTTGGAGGTCGCCCAATGGAACAGGAGAAGTTCGGTCATAGACTTCGCCTTCCCCGTAATGTGGCCAGTGATCACCATGATGGCCGACGGGCTTTGGCGTTGACCTGCGAGAAACATGTTCTCCCGATAAAATCAGCTCCACGTCGTGGTCGGTGTCCGAGAGGTGAATGGGTGCATCAGGTTGGGCCTCACGTGGCATGAGGTTGTCTTCGTCTTCGCCTTCTCGGTCGGGTCGCGCGATGCCCTTGATCTTCGGAGCACTAGGACGAGGCCCAGCGTCGAATAATATATTCCAGCAGATTCGGACGGGAGGACATCGGCTCGATTCCCCGACATAATCGGCAAAGCCTTGATCTGGAACTTCCACGCTCATTCCATGGCGTGATTCTGCTCTAGGACGTACATCACTGTTGGGTGGTTGGAATATAATTCCGTTATCTGGCAGAATCAATTTCGTCGAAGATAGAACTTTCGGCTGCTAGCCAGTATTTTGCCAACTCATTGCTGCCATGGGCTGTTTATTGGCCATGTTGCTCGGCAAAATGTGTTCACGATCGCCTCGCACTTGTTTTCCTTCATCTCCTTCCCGTAGTAGTCTCTTGCTCCGGTTTATCTTCAACGTAGGTGATGCATCCCTCCCATAGCTAAACGAGTATGATGGTGTCCGTTATGCTTTGGCGAGCAACAACATATGAGGGGGCCGGCCGGCCGGGGGAGGGCGCCCGGGAGGGCGAGCGCGTGCCAGGCGGGCAGGCCGCGATCTTTTTCTGGAGCCAAACCACAACAGCTGCGACGAAGCTGTGGGTCAGGAGTGGGCCCGAGGGGATGACTAAATCAACTGATCATGACTCCATAATGACTCCATACGAGCATGTCTTGCCACATGCACCACAACGACAGCGTCCATGTGCGTAGGATGACCCATCCAGACGGCCCAGCGCACAACCTGAAAGGCGGAGTCCGCATCTGACGGCGGAAGGGGGAAGGGGGGGTCCGCGAGACGCTCGCGTGCAGAAGCAAGAGAGCAGGTGAATCCGAACAAGCTCACGCGAAAACAGATCATCACCATCAGCACGCCAGGGAAGCCGACGACGGCGTCCTCCTCCTCCTCCTCGCCCTCCTCCTCCCACTCCTCGTGCCATTGCGCCGCTGTCCATCCCCCATCCCTCCCTTCGTTACCGTTCTCGTCGCCTCCATTCCAACACCTCCCCCTCTCACTTCACGCCTTTCTCTCCCCTTTCCGCCCGGCCACCCCTCCTGCCCCAAAAGGAAGCTCGCCGCGAGCGCGGAAGCGTTGGCGCCGGCGGCAGACAGTGCAGCACCACGAGCCCCGGCCAGGCGAGGCGGCCCCGTGAGAACCGAGCTGAGACACGCGCACTGCATCGGAAGCCGTCCAAAGCCGCCCAACCCTCGAAACCCGTCGCATCCTCTCCCTCCTCCGCCTCTCCGTGCCGAGCGTGACTCTCATCCCGAGAAACGTCCCGTCGTCGATCGGCTGCTTGTTCTGTTCTGGACCTGGCCGTGGCCACCCTGGCGGAATCGGCCGCAGACCAGAAACAGCGAGCTGGGAAGGAAACCGCACGATCGTCTCCCCCCGCTGGGCGTCCCAAACCGATGCGGGGACAAATCGTGCGGTGACCTCGAACTTCCGAAACACCCCTCCGCACAGTCCGTCACCACACGGTTGCGGGACCTTGGAGGCTCCGATCGCCCGAAACATCCTCGGAGAACGACCCAAGTCCCGAAACCGCGCGGTCACCCCGAGTCCCCACTGATTCACCACTGGGGGCCCCCAAGCCAGAGCCCAGATGTATGAGAGAGCGCGCCTGGGTGGGCCCGAGCACAGATGGGGGGCTTGCACACGGGGCTAACACCGCGTGGATCCTTCGACCTTGAAGGATCGGCGGCTCTTCGATCGCCATGTCCTTCCCCACTGGCCGAACCTGGGCAACCGGTGGCGTTCAACCTTGAACGCCCGCTGCGGGGTCGCCGCCGCGTGGACGCGACGCGAGCCTGCCGCATCCAGCCCTGGGACTGGACCGCCGAGGCACTGCTCTCTGGGGGACACGACAAAGACTCAAGGGAAGCCCCACGACCTCGGCACGCTGCGCTGGCTCCTCCTGCCTCTGCGCCTCACCCTCGCTGTTTTGCAGTCCTGACCCCTGTGCTTGGCATCAAATAGGCGGCGCGCCGAGGGGGGAAGTGAGAGGGGGCAGGCCTTCTCAGGAGGCGGCGGAGCCTCTCAGAAACCCTCCGGCCTTCTGGGAGGCCATCTGTCCCTCCGGCCTTCTGAGAGGCCCTCTGTTTCGGAGGAGGCTCAGGAAGCTTCTTGGAAGGCCGGAGGCCGTCTGAGCCTCAGGAGAAGCCCAGCGCCCTTTGCCTTCATCCCTGGGCCCGCCGCCGGAATCAGGGTGTGCTGCGACACCCAATAGGAACACGTGAACTGCGAAGGCCGGATAGTCGGGAGCGGCAAAGAGGGGGGTGTCCAAGAGGGGGGGGTGCAAATCATGACCGGCGGCATGTGCGCGGCCCAGCGGGGGGGCCAGGGACGCAATGAAATAAGAAGAGGCGCCATGAAATCTAAGGAAATATCATGGCCCCCGCCATGATATCCACCCCCCCCTAGTCATCACCCCCCTCTTTTCCGCCCCCGACAGGCGGTGGCTGTGGATAAAAGCCCGCCTCGGACCGGGGCTGCCCTTTCCTCCGAGTGCCCGAGGCAGAGGGTCCCGGGGGAGGTCCAGCGGACCAGAGGGAGGAACCAGGAGGGAGGAGGAAGAGGACAGCAGGAGGAGGAGGAGGAGGACGAGGAGCAGGAGGAGGAGGAGGGCCCGATCCAATCTGACAGTCTGACAGCCTCGGACCGGGGCTGCCCTTTCCTCCGAGTGCCAGAGACAGGCCCCTGACTCCGTGAGGACCGAGGAGGAGGAGGAGGAGGAGGAGGAGGAGGAGGAGGAGGAGGAGGAGGAGGAGGAGGAGGAGGAGGGGGAGGAGGAGGAGGAGGAGGAGGAGGAGGAGGAGCAAGAGTCATCACCCCCCTCTTTGCCGCTCCCGAGATAGGGCCCTCCCCCAGTGCCTCTTCCCCCCCAGGCAGCGCCGCCGAGCTCCGCCTCGGAGGCCTCGGGAGTCTGCTGGCGGAGCCTCTCGGATAGGGCTGGCGCGGGAGTGCTGTTGGTCAGCGCCGCCGCCACGAATGCGGCCTCCAGAAGAGCAAACATGTGTACGGCAGGTTCGTGTCGTGCCGACCCCAGCGTTGGTTTTTGACACCGCAAGGATCGTTCAACCTTGAACGATCGGCCGCTGCCGCAACGTCCAATCGTTCAACATCGATCGATTCTGGGTCGCCGGCGGCGTTCAACCTTGAACGCCCGCGCTGGGGTCGCCGCTGGTCGACACGACGCAAACCTACCGTACTCCAGATTTCGTAATAAAAGGGAGGGGGTCTGGACCCTCCAAGACAAGCCGTTTCAGACCTCCCCCGTGGGAGAACCCTCCAAAACCTCGTCCCCAGACCCCCCCAGGCCCTCCAAGATAGCCTGGAAGAGACCCCCCCCGAAATGAGACCCCCTCCCTTTTGTTACGAAATCTGGTGTACGTAGACATAAAAGCTCTCGAAGGTCCGCGTGGCGTCCTTGGGTCGGCGCTGCACTCCCCCCCCGTGGCGCGCAGAGCGCGCCAGGGGCGGAGCCGGAGGCGCCGCCTGGGGCCCAACGCCGATCCAAAGAATCCGTGAACAACGAGAAAGGGGTTTAACCGGGTTTGCGTTTTTCTGGGAGCGGCGCTGGTCTTCGACGGCTTCTGGGCTTCGACGGCGCCCCTTCAGGAGGAGAAGACACACACACACAGAGACACAAGTCGTCGTCGATCCCCCGGAGAAAAGAGGGGAAAATGGGGGCACTGGGGGGAAGACGGAAGCCCAGAAACTGTGGGAAGACGAAGGTCTGGTTCAACCAGGGTGACTTCGACGGCTGCTTGGGCGCCTCAGCTCGAGCCCGGGTGCCCCAGGTCGGGCCGGGCGGGCCCCAGGCCTAACGAAAGAGAAGGAGGAGGAGGAGGAGGAGGAGGAGGAGGAGGAGGAGGAGGAGGAGGAGGAGGAGGAGGAGCAGGAGAGACCCCCAAAAGCGCCCTCAGAAAAATCCTGAATTTTTGTCCAACGATTTGGACGCCGCTTGATGGGGGGGCGACGGGCGGGGGGGACGCCAAGTGCCTCTCTCGGACCCTAAAAGGGCCCCTTTGGGGAGGGGCCCTGAAGGGCCCCTGCTCTGCAGCCCTCGCTGCCCCCCCCCCCCCCCACACCAATCGACCCCCCCTCTCGCGACGCCCAGAACGAACCCTTCTGGCAGCCTCTGGTTTATGCCCTTCTTGTTCCTCGCGCAATCGCTCGGACGTCCGTTCCTCGTGCATTGTCGGTTTCGCGTGTATTGATTCGCAAGGTGAACACGCATGCTCCTCGATGGTCCCTGCAGAGGAAAAAGGCACACGTCCGAGCGATGCCAAGGTTTTCCCCCGAGCCGCGCTGGAGCTCTCGGCATTCGCCGCGCCGTCCGAGGAGCCGCCGTTGGCGGCGGAGCTCCTGGCAGCCGCGGCCGGCGCAGGGCGGCGCGGGGGGGAACCCTCCACAGCAAATGCTGCCGCGGACGAGGGAGCGGAGGATCTGCCACCGCGACGACGCCGACGACGACGACGACGACGGCGACCACGACGCCGACGACGACGACGCCGACGGCGACGACGACGACGCCGCCGCCGACGACGACGTCGTCCTTGGCACGCTGAGACGCGGTGGAATGCCAAGTGCTGCCTGGCAGGCTCTCTGTACCCTTCTAGGGACCCCAGCCCCCCCTCCACTAGCACACACTCCCGTGCACTGGGGAGGCGGAGGAGGCGGAGGAGGAGGAGGAGGAGGAGGAGGAGGAGGAGGAGGAGGACGAGGAGGAGCAGAAGGAGGAGGATAACGAGGAGGACCAGGAGGAGGAGGATGAGGAATGAGTGAGCGACCCCAGTCGCGAAGCGAAATGCCCACAGTTACGAAAACCCGATGAGCCTGCTCAGCCTTGCTCAAGACCTCGAGCCACAGGCCTGCTGCTATCGTGGACAAGTATTCGGCTTGATTGGAATTCGCTGTTCTCTGGCATTATTGCCCGATGCCCTTGATAATCTGGCTTGCAAAACAGCTGCAACTGCCGCATAACCAGGTCTTAAGTGTGCTGTGTACTCGAAAGATGTGTGTGATGCACCCACCCACCCCGCGAACTGTAACGTCAGACAAGACGGGGCTCCTTACAAACGCACCGTTAACATGGAAGGGGGGAAAACACGGGGTATCCCACCACAAAGACTGTCTCGCTTTGGTGGCTGGGCTATAGCATCGCGTGCATTTGCGGCCAGACTAAATCTAGGACATGGGTGGTGGTGAAAGCCTGAACCGAAGACACAACTGGAGGGGGAAGGGGAAGCGGCTCAGAGTGTGTCCGCCCCTCGGGTTCCAGTTCCTTCTCTCGTTCGAAAGCATAAACCGTTGCGCGGAGTAGGCGAAGTCTGACGAAATGCGCCTTGTGCTCCCACTGCTCGGCTCTGTGTCTTGACTCTCTGAACCCGTGCAGCTGCAGCCCCTGCCAGAACGTCCGCAACGGCGTTGCCCAGGATCATTTAGTGGGCATTTCCCAGATATGGCCCCGCGGGCCTCCACATCTGACTTGACGAATAACACCACCAAGGAGGCAGGATCCCGTCCGGACTGAAATTCCAAACCTATCTGGACTCATACATGTGCATCCTGCCCTTCTGGCGTCAAGTATCGGCGCTGAGCCCAACCATCCGCCACATTCTGACTGCCAGTAACTTACACAACAAACCGTTTCGATGTCTCTGCAACAAGAAGAAGGGCACTCAACTCCTCTCTGGGGCCCTACTGGCGTTCTCCAGCTAAACCTCCCGATATAAAACTGCATACCTGAAGCGGATCGAACGATGTAACATGCGCTACGGACACACTAACCCGTCGATATCTCGTATGGCCAGGCAGCTCACCGCCACTGGAATAACCAAACAAACATAACGGCTGGGAGTACCTGTGACGAAACTGCCAAAGCTGACAACTCCTGAGGTGTGCCATCGCTCCTCGGATGGTGTGGCCTCCACCTTCACCCATGTTGATGGTAGAAGCCCCCGTAGCCAGAAGCACCCTGCACATTCCCAGCTGGTGGCAGCTTCCCCCACCACGGCATCTGTTAAAGAATCAGCTGCGGTTCCTGCGTTTCTCTGCAAATCCGCACGCGATGAAAGGCCGTCTCCTTGTCCTTGTCCTCTTGGCAACGAGGGCATCTGAAGGGGCCCCATGACACACACACACACACACACACACGCACACACACACACAAACACACACACACACACACACATTCACACACACACACACACACACACACACACACACACACACACACACGTCACGCAGCGGGTTTTCCTGGCGCCTCCTGGCGCCGGGAGGCGCCCATGTATCGAGGAATAGGCCTTGCGACGGGGCCGACACCAGCTGCATGCACCAAATTTCGTAACCCCCCCTTTCCCAATCCCCCCCTTTCGCCCGACCCGAATAGCAAAGGGCAGGGTAGCGAATCAGCTCACGCCGCTGGTTTTCCTGGCGCCGGGAGGCGCGAGGATTGGGTCCAACGACGGGGCGGAAACCAGCTGCATGCAGAGGATTTGGTAAGTCCCCCTTTCCTTATCCCCCCTTTCATTCGGCCCGACAGAAGTTGACGACCTGAGAGCAGGAGGATCGCATCTACGACCTGAGAGCAGGAACGACTCATTCAACGATCCGCAACTCGACCTGAGGTCGCCTGCGAGGAAGCGTCGAGATACCGTCCGACATCTGGCCGATCGCGCGAGCAGGTCGGAGGTAGAGCGGGGGGAGGGGCATCCCAGCTCACGCCCCCCCCCCGCCGCCGAGTCCCCCTACAGGGAGATTTTGGGCGAAAAATAAAAGATAGTCGAAAAATACCTCCAAATGGGCAAGAATAATCAAAACATCGTTCCCAGACTATTCTTTTACTATTTTTGAACATTCCCCCTGTAGAGGGACAAGCCCGACTTAACCCTTGTCCTCATGGGAAAACGGCCAGAAAAAGGAGAGCACCTCCTGGACCCAAAGTGGTCGGCATTTCAACGTCTTGACGGTACTCCTTTTTCATCCTCCGACTCCCCCTCCTGCCCGCCTTCCGTTCTGCCATGGTCGTGAACATCAGCATACACATCGTCGCTGTCGGCAACAGCGGTGCTACCAATCTCCGACGCCTCGGCATGGTTAGCAGCAAGCCACGGCTAGTGGGCGGCACCGTGCTGCATGAGGAGGTCTTTCTGGTTCTTGTTCCAGGCGCAATCGCACGTCCCCTCGAACTTGAAGGGGTAGGCTGGTGCGATCGACTGCGGCATCCCCCTCCTCCTCCTCCTCCTCCTCCTCCTTCCCCTCCCATTCCTTTAGTGCATGATGCCCCTCCTGCTTGCGGTTCGGCCTTTTGGGCGCTATGAAGTATGAACACGATGAGTTATGATCAGAGGGTGGGTGCCCGAACGGTTTATTTTGTCCCTGCGCGTGTTCGTCCATCGGGGAGTCGTCTCTCTGGGGGCAGCGCTTGAAGGCCACGCCTCAGGGGTCGCGCCGGGGGGCCTCGCTGGGAGGCCACGTTAGGGGGGCTTGCGCAAAACTTGCTGCACACTCTTGCTTGCCCGCAGCCGCGGGGGACTGGGTACATCCTCCTCCTCCTCCTCCTCCGTCTTCTTCTTCTCCTTCCACTTCCTCCTCCTCCTCCTCCTCCTCCTCCTCCTCCTCCACCCTCCTCCTCCCTCCTCCCTCCTCCCTCCTCCCTCCTCGGTGTGGGCGGAGCTGCGCTTGGGAATTACAGTCAACCCATATAGTAAGGATGGGCGGTAAGGATGCAAAGGGCCTTGGACGCCCATGCCGAGGCTATTCAAGCGGGGCTGGCCCTCGAAAGTGGTTGAGGACGGACCGAAGATGACCGAAGAGGCAAGGATACAAGGGTGCCCTTGGGAATTCGATCATCCTTACTACCAGGGCTGACTGTAGCGGCGGCTTTCTGGCCAAATCCCTGGACCACTGTCATGGGCCATGGCTTCCAATGAAACTGGCCGCCCCTGGGCCCTCAAGACATACTGCACCCAACACGCTGGACAATACCTGATAAATTCAATTCGCAGAAATCTCGTCACCTTATCATATTTGGCCTCTCCCCGATAACACTCCGGGCCATGTGTAGGACACCATGGCAATTTCAGCTCGCCCCAGTCGCCGGGCCGGTGTCGTGCGAGTGCGCTTCCTGCGCAGCCGCCGCGAAGTCGGTGAAGGCTTTGCTGGGCATGGGGGGCGATCACCACTCAGAAAGAAGAACATAATATAGAGAGTGACGGAGAGAAAGAGAGAGAGAGAGAGAAACCGCGGGGGAGAGCAGGAGAGACAGAAAGAGAGAGAGAGAGAGAGCAAGAGCGAATTAATGGGAAATACAAACAGAGAGAGAGAGAGAGAGAGAGAGAGAGAAAGAGAGAGAGACATCCATATAACAGAAAACACAGAGAGAGAGAGACGAGAAAGGCAGACGCAGGACTACCTATGGAGCGGGCGCAGCGACAGATACGACAGCATGATGCACACACACATATACATATCTAAGATTATAACCCCATCCGTGTATACACATACTGATACACACATATACGCACGAACACACAAGTGCACTGTAATCGCGCGCGCTTCGCCAGCATCTGTGCAGGGCGACGTCACAACACAATTGGTGAACGTCGCGATGCCCTTCATGTCGGGACCGTCTCGCGCTGGTACTGGGCCGTTTTTGTTTCGTTGAGCTCCCTCCACGTTTTTCCTCGTTTCGTTTTCCGCCCTCCTCCTACTCCCTCGCCCTCACCCTGCTGTTCGCTTAAGCCTCCGCAGTTTCCCCCCCCCCCCCTATGAATCTTCCCCATCGTCCTCCATCCTCCGTTCGTTTGCCTCGCGTTTCCAAACTGCTGGCGGGGAAAAGAGTCAGTGGAAAAGAAGAGGGAACGGAAGAGGAGCAGGAGATGGAGGAGGAAGAAGAGGAGAAACAGGAGGAAGGCCAATACAACCCCCAAACGCATCAACGTCACAAACTTTCACAAACAACCACGTTCGTTACGGCAATTGCCCCATTGGACAACAAGCGTATGATAATCATCAATCGTGCGAAAACACAATTCTTTGGATTTCACCGCCGCGGATCAGTGCGACAGCTGCGCCCTGACAGCCCTGGATATCGTCCCAGAACACACCATCCTTGGGAATCCAATCGCACGAACCTTTGGCACCGCTGCAGACATTCAATACGACTGTGCGCGGCGTTACTGCGAGAGCCACATGTTAAAGAGGCACCGCCTTCCTTGTTTGAATATGTTGCAAGCCTTGAAGACGAATATGCGCGGCGTTGAAGCCAACTCCTCATTCTGAAAACGGGCCGCCTTCCATCCTCGAAACCGTGGCCTACGTTTGAATATAGTGTGCGCGGCACTAAAGCGATAATCGCATTCTGAAAACGGTCCGCCCTCCATCACTGAACGTGTTGCGCGCATTGAAAACGGATGTGCGCGTCGCAAAATCGGAAACCGTGTTAAAGAAGGGCCCGCCCTCAATCCGCGAAGCTGCTACGAATTCCAACTGCAGGGTCATAGTTGGTGAAGAAATCTCGAGCGAGACGCCCGGCCCGCCATACCGACACGGCTGGGGGTGCGACAGGGAGCTCTTCATACGTAAGAGAAATGGAAGAGGAATCGGACGGGGGAGGGGAAATAAGAGAGGGAGGGAGGGAGGGAGGAGGGAGGGAGGAAATAAGAGAGGGAGGGAGGGAGGAGGGAAATAAGAGAGGGAGGGAGGAAATAAGAGAGGGAGGGAGGGAGGGAGGATGGACTGCTTGCAAAGGAGAGGATGGGGAGGATGCACGCAGCCTCTAAAGGGTCTTTCGCGCTTGGCACAAACAGCCGCCGTGATCATGCTCGGAGCGGAGGCCTCGAGCAATCGCTCGCCTCGCACAACCTCGAAAACCACCCGCGGGATCTCGGCGGAGGAAGCGCGCGAGCGCAACTCGAAAAAGCAAAGATAAGTGAAGCTCGACAGTATGACAAATACTTTGATAATTGAATCGTGATGTAATCAAGGCGAAGCCATGCCATTTCGGGATCAGCGACGGCGAGGCGATGTTTGTTAGTAAGGGCCTCCGTCCGATGCAAGTCAGAGGAGTGCCTCAGTGTTGTGAAGCGACGCATGTGCGAGAACCCATTTTTCAAATATGGTGGCGGGGGGGCGCGCGTCGAGCATTCCCCCACGCAGCAAACAAATCACAACCTTATTTGGGGACACAAAGAGCCCATGGCACCTGCAGGAAGACGGAAGGATACCCCCAGACGTAGGCAGCAGAAGCTCAGGAGCCGAGCCGGGGGCCGCGACGCCCCCGCAAGCACCCACGCGCTTGGCCTTCTCTGGGTGTTCAGGGGCGCGGGGCCGCGACCCGCGCTGGAGGCCGCCCCGTGCAAGGCCTCATCGGCGTGAGCTCTGAAACGAAATTGCCTCTGGCCGTCTGACGGCACGGCGGTGCCCGGCAAAAGCCTTCACGCGCGAAAGGTGAATGCGAGCGTGTGCGCGATGACGTGGGCGCACCATCGCCCCAAGGTCTGGCTCGCGCTCGGCGAACCGGTTCGCGTGGCGAATGCGCCCTTGCCTGGCCTCGCGAGCTCCCCCCCCGTCCACGACGTCGCAAACAACCTCCCTTCCCTGCCCCCTCCAACAAACGTAGCTTCGCCAACATTTCGGCTGGCGGCCGGGCGGCGCGCCGGTTCGCCCACTGGGCCGACCTGGCAAGAACAGCTATCTCCGCATATCACGGGCGACGCGCGATGATCTTGCGATGCTGACTTACAAACTTGCCAAGAGTTACTCCAGATTTCGGAATAAAAGGTAGGGGGTCTGGACCCTCCAAGACAAGCCATTTCAGACCCCCCCCCGTGGGAGAACCCTCCAAAACATCGTCCCCAGACCCCCCCAGGCCCTCCAAGATAGCCTGGAAGAGACCCCCCCCGAAATGAGACCCCCCTCCCTTTATAATAAAATCTGGAGTAGTTGGGCCGAGTCCCGCGAGTCGTGGTTCGGCGTTTGGGGGCGCGGCGCCGCGCTCGCCCCCGTTCGAGCCCTCGCGGCAACTCGAGAAAGTCCGCGTAGATACTCCAGCGGAGCGAGCGCGACGTTTAGGATCTGCACCGCTGCATAGATTTCCGCGCGAGGGCTCGTCTGATTAGACCCGGGCAGTTTCTCCAAAAACGCATGCGGACACAGCGCGGTCGCCCGACCGAGCACGCCCCCAGCCTGCGCGCGCGGCCATGGGCCAGTAGAAGCACCTGCGGCACGCGCCGCGGAAGAGATCTTGCCCGCGACGAAGGAGCAGTCTCCGCGCAGCGAACGCCGCCTTGCTGAATCGCCCCGCGGAGGAGGTCGCGGCCGCAGCGCCCTCGGGCGACGACCGCGACGCCACGGCCAAATAGCAGGACTGGGACATGGCAGCGCCGCAGCGTCAGCGTCGCCGCAAAATGAGCTGCGCCCGTCGTCCGCGGCGTCGCACCTCCGCGAGACGCGAACATCATCGGCCCCACTGCGAAGGGCAGGTGGCCCGCGCCCCCCTGAGCTGGCGGCCCCGGCGAGCCCGCCTGCTGCTGGGGGAAAATGCCGGGGCGCCCTGGGCCCTCGTTCTCGCGCGCTCCTCCTCCTCCTCCTCCTCCTCCTCTTCTTCCTCCTCTTCTTCCTCCTCCTCCTCCTCCTCCTCCTCCTCCTCCTCCTCTCCTCGCGCGCTCGCCCGAGATGGGGCTGCGGCGGACCCCGACGGATGCCCCGCGGGGGGGTGCTCGGGGCCCAGGCTGGCAGACGCACCTCAGTCGGGCCGCCTGCCCCCCTCCCCATCACCGCGCGCCTCCGAACACCCGCCGCGCGGGCAGGGCCCCCAGGCGCCCGAGGCGGAAGTCGTCGGAGATACCCACCTGCCTTTGCTCGCCCTTCGTCGGGCTTCTGGTTTAGCATAGTGCCTATTCCAGCGCCGTCCACACGGTAGTTTAGAGCCCCTCACTAGACCTCCTGCGCCGACGGATCATTGGAGGTAGTGCGCGTGTGTGGAGGTCCAAGGCGTTCCCGAGATCGGCGCGCATGTGACATGGCGATGGGGCCACCCGACTCAGGCCCCTGACGGCCAGGATGGCGGCCCCCGCTGGGCCCCCGACTTGTCCCCGAGGATGCGCCGCGCGAGGCGCCGCGGGCGCCCGCTGCTGCGGCCGCGCCCGCTGCGAGAAGTCGGGGAAGCGAGAGCGCGGCGTGCCCGACTGGCGCAGCGGGCCCGCCCGCGATGGCGTCCATGGGTCTTGCGCGGCCCCCTCGCGATGAAAACGCGAGGACCAGGCTGGGCCTCGTTTGCCCGGCTCGGGCCAGGGGCCCCGCGGGGCCGCGCGCACTGGTCGAGCGACGGGCGGAGGCGCCACCAAACATGATCATGCCTGCCCACTGGACGCGTCGCAGTTGCAGCGTCCCTTCTCACAATTCGGACTATTCCCGAACTAAGCCGCGAACGCTTTAGGAGCCTTTCCCAAATCTACTTCGACTCCAAGGATGAGTCAGGTGATGAAGCGCTCGGCAGACCCTTCTGGCAAGCGGCGCATAGGTGGCAGCGGCCGCCATTTGACGCTCAGGCGGGCCAAGACAACCCCATTCAGCGCATGAGCAACACCTCTCAAGCCAAGACAAGACTGTTCCGAGATCTCCGAAGCTCGCGCAAGATTGGAATGATGAGGTCATCCACATGCACGCGCAGCGCGCAGCGCGCGCTGCGCGCGCGGCCAGGCCGCCCAGCGGCGCGGCCATACTTGGATAGAACATGCGCGGCCAAGCTGCATCCGGCAACGTTCCTCGAGACGCCCATGCTGGACCCGCGGGGACTGCAGACCAGACCGGGCGCCGCGACGCCGCGCGCACCCAGATAGCAAGGAACGCGCAACTTCGGGCCAGGGACGCCGCGATGCAAGCCAGCCCTCGGGGCAGTATCCCAAACGACCCGATTGAAGCATGATTGGGCGCCCGAGTTATCCGGGGTAACTCGGGTCCGGGGTAACTCGGGTTTGGATTCCCGAAAAAAGGAACCCGAGTTAGCCCTGACCCGACTTACCCCTGATGATGTGGGGTTCTGGACGCCCGAGTTATCCGGGGTAACTCGGGTCCGGGGTAACTCGGGTTTGGATTCCCGAGAAAGGAGCCCGAGTTAGCCCTGACCCGAATTACCCCCGACGATGTGGGTTCTGGA